TATGTACTTATTACTGTATTGTAAGATATTACTTCAGAACATCTTACCTCTTCTTTCTCGATTTTTGCATGCTTCCTCTCTGCAGCTACATTTTTTTTCCGATTAAAATGAAATTGTGCATCTTCTTCAGCTTTTTGTAACATCTTTTTCTTTGCCTCATATTCTCCTATAAACTCTCCTGAAGTACTGATTTCTTCAAAAAACTGAGTTCTCTCTTTGGGTTTTTTCATAGAAATTGACTCTACAGTTCCCTATTAACAACAGTAAAGCATAACAGCATGTAAAATATGGTAGCATGTTTTAAAAACAGACCAAATGAGTATAACTACTTACCTGGAAAACTAGACAGTTCTGTGCTTTGACTATTATGCCTATCTTTTCCAACTGTGCTACATATGCAGAACGAGTCACAGGTTTATCCCCAAAATGAAATTCTGAGCATCCCCCTAAAATAAACAAAATAAACCACTATAGAACGTTTTTACTGAACTAGTTTTACAATAATATAATTAATACACCTATACATAAACTCTTTTCATTACTCAACAAATATTATAAGTATATGCTAAGATTATTTCATGGCAGTAACAGATAAAAAGTGTTCTACCTCAAAGAGTTCATATCTTAGAGATAAAAACAAAATATTTAAATAAAATAAATAGCATGTGAGAAAGTGGCATCTTGCTGCGGGAAAATCCTTCTGTACTCTGTGCATATGTATCGCTCTCACTGGTTAAAAATAAAGCTGAGTTGGTCTATAGCCAGGCAGAATAAAGTTAGGTGGGAAAGTCAAACGGAGATACAGAGAGAAAGAAGGGTGGATTGGAGGGAGACTTGAGCCAGCCACCCAAGAAGCAAGATACCAGAGGACCAGTAAAGCCACGGCAATGTGGAAATACATAGATTAATAGAAATAGGTTAATTTAAATGTAAGAGATAGTTACAAATAAGCCTGAGTTATCAATCAAGCATTCTGTAATTAATAAGTTTCTGTATATTTATTTGAAACTGGGTGGTCGGTACAAAAGAAAATCTCAGCCATAGTTCACAGTATCTATAAGGAACAAAGGGATGTTTCTGCATGTGGAAAAAGTTATTTCAACTTTGAATACAGTGAATAAAGAAATTTTTATTGAAATGGAGAATTTTCAAATAAAAAGCCAAAGGTTAGGTATTGTGACATATTCCAGCACCTTTAGGAGGATCACTTGCACTTGTGTTAACGGCACATTGAGCGCTCATCACAATCAATAAATGTCCAAAAGGGAGCGAGAAAATTGACCGAAGATTACTCCAAGTGGTAAAATGCAGAAATATTTAAATTATATATATAAATATATGTAATGTAAGTTAGTACTACAGTTTTCATACTTTAGAAATGTAGTGAAGTTAGACATGGTAGCACATGTGTGTGATATCTGCACTTGAGAACCTAAAAAGGATTATGAGATAAAGGTCAGTTGGACTACATATCAAGACCCTGTCCAGAAAGTGAGGGAGGGTGGGAGAGAAGATGTAATATTTATTCTAGTAAACTAGAAAGAAAACAGCAACAAGTAAAAATAATAAAATATATATCTACTTTTTATGACTTTATAATGTTCTTGCATGATATAATTATAGATGAGCTATAATAGTAACACGGGGAATTCATGAATAAATAAGTAATAAATAATATTAAACATTTTATTCAAGTTGCTCTTATGTATATATAAGCCAAAATATATTTACAAGAAAACAGCAGAAAGAAGCAAAGAAAGCAGTTTAATAATGTCTCTACTTAGAGACAGGCTCCCTCCTTCATCTTAAGTAAATATTCAAGTATAAAACTGCTGCTTCACAGTAAGAGTACTGAAAAAGTGAGTCTGCTTAAACAAGAGACTTAATAGGAACTAAAACAGGTTCTGTTATTTGCTTCTAAGAAAAAGGGTCTGTTACTCACTATGCCACTAATTAGTCTCACACTTCAAAGAAAGAGCAATCTGACTCTAAACGAAAATTCACACACACACACACACACACACACACACACACACACACACACTACCTCGGATAATCCTTGTGAATGTTTTCTCTTCCCCACTGTCCTCTATGTATATAATTTTGACACTTGCAGAAGAAGAAACAGGTTTTCCAATATGTGCTCCATGAATAAGTTCTTGAATATTTTTTACTCTTAAATTAGTTGTTTTTTCTCCCATTACAAAACTAAGTGCATCCATTACATTTGATTTTCCTGGATGAAGAAAGGAAGATGAAAATTCTTATTTATTTATTTGGATTTTTTTTTGAGACAGAGTATCTCTGTTGTGCCCTGGAATCACTCTGTAGACCAGGCCGACCTCAAACTCACAGAGATCCACCTGCCTCTGCCTCCTGAGTGCTACTATTAAAGGCATGTGCCGCAACCACCCAAAAGATTCATTCTTAATGACTGAAAAACCTTCTGAGAGTCAAAGAATTTAAATCACCAATGGAAGTGAAATATAGCCAATATGCAAGTCTCAGAAGCCTTGTCTGGTCAATGTTCAAAATCTATGTGATTGGGAAAACTCCAGGTAGGTGGATTATTTCTCCTATGTAGCTGTGGCAGGAAGATGTGAAATTAAGGATATAAACACATGAATCAAAAACCAATTAACTACATAAAATTAAACAAAACAAACATGGACCTCAGATCTCTCCTATTACTGGATATCACACAGAGCAAATCACTTAACTTCCCTATTTCAGTAACACCCATTTTATAAATTGGGAAATGATCATATAGACATTATAACAGCACCATACCCCTCTGTATTTAAAAAAATTTAAAAAGCTATCTGGGTAGTGGTGGCACATGACTTTAATCCCGGCTCCTGGGAAGCAGAGGGAGGCAGATCTCTGCAAATTAAGAGGCCAGCCTGATCTACAGTGTGAGTTCCAGGACAGCCTGGGCTATTAACATAGAGAAACCTTGTCTAGAAAAACAAAGACAAAACAACAACAACAACAACAACAACAAAACCATAAAAAGTTAAATGCTAACTGAATGTAAGATCTTCTCAAGGTATAAACTGAGACTGCTAGAATCTTCATGTTTTAATACTTGGATCTGGGAAAGGTTTTTACATTTCTTGGTAAGAATGTAAAAAACGGTGAGAGCTGGGTGGTGGTGGCGCATGGCTTTAATCCCAGCACTTGGAAGGCAGACAGGCAAATTAAGAGGCCAGCCTGATCTACAGTGTGAGTTCGAGACCAGCCTGGACTACAAAAGAGCTAGTTCCAGGACAGGTTCCAAAGCAAGGTTGAGAAACCTTGACTCAAAAAACCAAACCAAACCCAAAAAAAAAAAAAAAAAAAAAAAAAAAAAAAAAAAAAACTTAACGAGACAGGACCATGTGCTTCCTTTCTAGGAGTCTGGAATTTGGGTACGTGCTAGGAAGAGGATATGACCATCTCCCAGTAAAAACCCTATGCATTGAGTCCATGAGGTTTCTTGGTGGCATTTTAACATGAGAACTTACTGCTGAGGATTTTGGCTTTTCCTGTTGCTGAGTTTGCTCTGTACCTCTCCACTGCCATGCATGACAATCCTGACTAAACTCTATGCCACACACTGAAGGATCAACCAGCAAATCACCAAACCAGAGGGTAGTCCTGGAAACCTTCAACCCCACTGGTAGATTCGCTATATGAGGAAACTTAAAGATGAGTTCTATAAAAACTATAAAATTTGTGTCTAAGTCAGCTGTGGTGGGGCACACCTTTAATTCCAGCACTTGGGAGGCAGTGGAAGGTGGATGGTAACTCAGAGGGTAGCTTCAGATAGTATGGTTAGAAAACATTAACTGCTGGTTGGGCTTAACAATCATTTGTTGAAAAAGACAAACCGGTCTGCAGCGTTTAGACTGGAGACCACTGCTGCGAAGGGAAGGATTTCACCGCAGTACCAGCCGGGAAACCGCCTTTAGAGATTACCTGCGGGCACGACATTACCTTTCTTTACATTAACCTTGCTTGCACACGTTTTCTTTTGTTTTGTTTTTCCCAACAAAGGCCAAATCCACTTCATGCCTAGCACTTGCTGTCCTTGGGGTGGGCGCTGGAGAGCTACTGGCTGGCGGAGTCTGGGGAAGCAGTGAAACCTCGGGCCACAGTCAGGCCCACAGCGGGGTGGGGGGTGGGTGTTCGGTCCCCTCAGGGCGACAGCAGGGACTGGGGGTGACTGGGCGCCCTCAGGCCTACAGCAGTGTGGGGGGGGGGACAGACTTGGTCCCCTCAGGGCGACAGCAGGGACTGGGGGTGACCGGGTCCCCCTCACGCCTACAGCAGTGGGGGGGGGGCGGACTTGGTCCCCTCAGGGTGACGGCAGGGACCGGGGGAGGGGGGGGTGACTGGGCCCCTTCAGGCAGGCCTACAGCAGTCTGGAAGGGGTACTCGGTCGGCTCAGGGCGACGGCAGGGACTGGCGGTGACTGGGTCACCCCAGGCCAGCAATGGCAAGAGCAGTCCCCCGGGTCCCCTCCAGCCTACAGTGTTGAGGGTGGGGTCCCCTCAGGTCTACAGTGAGGGTTGGGGTGGCTGGTTCACCCCCCCCCAGGCCAACGACAGGTGAGAGCAGGCCCCCGGGTCCCCTCTGGCCTACAATGGGGGTTGGGGTGTCTGGGTCCCCCCCGGGCCAAAGACAGGCGAGAGAAGGCCCCCGGGGCCCCTCGGGTCTACAGCGGGAGGCAGTGTCCCCTGGGGCTGAACTGCTCTGAGGCGCTGGTTACCAGAGCCATTGGGGCCGATGATGCAGGTGAACCTCTTGAAGGGACCGATGACCTGGCGGCCTCGCCACGACTTGAAATTCTCCACGAGCAGCAGCTCAAGGTGCCCCATGGCTGTCCTCCGCGCCTCAGCTGCCTCCTCGTGCGCCACGGAGGAAAAGCGCGGGAAGCGCTTTGCCAAGTCTCGCGAGACTGGCGCGAGCGACGCGCCTTTCCCTAGCAACGGAGGTTGTTGGCGTTTCCCGGGAAATCCGATTCCTGTGCACCGCTTGTGGCCGAAAGCAGGCTCTTGGTGGTCGCTGGGACAGATCAGCTTCCAAACTTTCGGAAGTGCTACTTGTTGCTTCTGGGAGCTGCAGCTTGCTTATTTCTGTGACCTTTTCTTACCGTGTTTGTTCTGAAAGCTGCTGAAGCCCCGCCGGATTCCAGAGCCATGGAGGTAGCGCTGGTTAAGGACCTGCAACAGGACGCCAGCCTCGAAAAGAAGCGGTACATGGAGCTGTGCAGGCAGGGACGGGTCTTCAACGCCAGGAACAGGATTATTGGGGTGAGGCACCGGGGGGGTGGGGTGGGAGGCAATGCTTGGAAGGAACGTTTATACCGAAGTACCAAGTTTGCCTGGGTAGACTTGAAAAGCCTTACGCTCACCAACAGTGGCCCAGCGGGAGCCAGTGGGAGCCAGCATTTGCTTTTTTGCTATTCTCCTGTTTAGCTCAGTTTTCCCATTCTTCCAGGTGGCAAATGCCCTGGTTACCTGAGTGGGGTCCAGGAGGTGGGAGACCTTGCAGAGTTCACCACGTAGTGAAAGAGACCATGCCTTAAAATGGCCAGAAAACGCAGTGGGATGAGCACCAGCACAGACTGGAGCCTGGAGGAGGAAATCAGAGAGGGCTTCCCAGAAGGGTGGTACCTAACCAGTGTTGGGGGGATGTGTGTGGGTTAAGAAGTGGAGGAAGTCCTGGTGAACACAGCACAGGCAGGACCCAGCTATAAGCAAAGCCATCCAAGCATGGGAAGGGAATTTGTTGATTCTGTGGCCAGATGAGGGGAATTGTAGCCTACTGAATAATACTAGCTGGCTCTTACCTCTCTTCCCTCATCCGTACCCAGGGAGACACACAAGCCTGGGAAGTCCAAGTTCACAACCAGAAGATAAAAGAAGCAACTGAAAAAGCTAGACATGAAACTTTTGGTGAGCATTTCTAAAATGTCCGTCTATAGCTTAAGACCTCTTGTCTTAATTTCTGTGGAAGCCAGAGCAAATGCTTTGTGTTCTCAGGGCCCTGGATTCAGTCTCCTGCATGTGCATGAATGAGAACACACACACACACACACACACACACACACACACACAGAGTTATCATTTGCATGGTCTTTCTCCTTTTAAAATTCCACAATTTCTTGTGCTCTGTTAACTGAAAGAGAATATTCTTCCTCTCAAGAAAAAGCAGCTAATGAATCTCAATGTACCTCTTAAGAAATGTATTTTAAATAAAAGGAGTGTTTTTCATTGTTCTCTTAAAAAACCCCTTTCTCTAAAAGGGAAAAGCTTAAACACACACATGTACACATTCTCTACTTCAGACTCAAAGCTGATCTTCTGTGGAGGACAGCTGTTTGTAACAAGTGACACACAAACCCTGGAGCTCAGACCTCTGAGCTGACTCAGTGATTTACATGTGGTATGTAACATGTGTGCATATAGTATTTACATACATGTAGCTCAAATAGTGTTCTAGGTTCTAGTTCAAAACATCAAACAGAATCCAGTTTTCCTAGATGGTTTTTAAATATAAAGCAGAGAAAACCAGCCTACAAACCACAATCCCAGACAACTTAGACAACAATGAGGACACTAAGAGAGACTTACATAGATCTAATCTACATGAAAAGTAGAAAAAGACAAGATCTCCTCAGTAAATTGGGAGCATGGGGACCTTGGGGGAGGGCTGAAGGGAGGAGGGGAGAGGCAGGGAGGGGAGCAGAGAAAAATGTAGAGCTCAATAAAAATCAGTATAAAAAAGAATTCAGTTTTCCTTTCATGGCCAGCAATTTCACCAATTGTTGAACATTGGGTTTTTTAAATGCCATAGGATTTTTTAAGTATAAAAAAGCTGGGCATATAATTGTAGAGACAAACGTGCTATCAATTTAGGCTTTAAGATATATGGGCAGAAAAAGACAAAATTTCTTATCAGTGGTTATGTTCAAGTGATTCAATTATGAATGAAGTTGCTTTTGTTTATACTATTGTACATTTTTCAAATTTTTCGATCTTGTTTGTAAAGTAGTTCAGACTTATCAAACCAATGTAACAGACACACATGTGTCCACCACCAAGCTTGATGTCAACATTTTGCTTTGCTGACCTCGGGCATCTTCAAGAGTTCTTTCTGAAAACTACGTTGTATATAACACGAGTACCCCGTTATAGTTTCCCTGTTTATAGATGTACTATCTATGTTTCCTTCATAATGTAAACTTGCTTTTGTATGCCTTTGTGTCTGCATATGGTGTGTGTGTGAGGGTATATGCACATGTGTGTGCAGATAGGCCTGCCTGTGAAAGCACAGAGACCATGTAGACCAGGCAGGCTGGTCTCTGCCTCCCAAGTGCTGGGACCGAAGATGTGCATCACCACACCGATTTTAAAAGGTTTTTGGCAAATACTGCTTCAGTTAATATCCATGTATCATGTGCCTTGTGCACGTGTGAGAGAGACACTGGCGTCGAATTGATGGCTCAGATTGCTCTGTTAGAAGTACGCCAATTACACTTCAGTAGCAGTGGGTGCAGCCGTCTCCATCTCATTCCTCACGTCAGGACTAGTGTATGCATCGGTGGCATTTTAAGCATTCTGTCTGAATGTGTCCCATGAAAGGTTAGTGTTCCTATCTAAATATGTTATCCACTTGGGTTTCTTTATAGTGCTTTACCTGTGTTCATTTCTCAGTTTTCCTATGTACTTAAGATGTTTGCAAGTATTTTTTATATATGCGGATGCTGTTCCTTTAATGGTTATGTTACAGTCTGGGAACATTGTCCTTAAGTCATGAAAATCAGTTCTAAAGTAGATCCATTCTTATTCATCGTAGCTGATATGTGTCCTGTGTCTTTCCTAGCTGCTGACATGAAGCACAATGACAAAGTCATGTGCATACTCCATGACCGCGAACGGAGGGACAGGAAACAACTCTGTCGCGCTATCAATGACTTCCAGCAGAGCTTTCAGAAGCCAGAAACTCGCCGTGAGTTTGATCTCTCGGACCCCCTGGCCCTCAAGAAAGATCTCCCAGCCCGGGTGTCAGACAACGACATGAGGAACACCATATCAGGAATGCAGAAGTTCATGGGAGAGGATTTAAACTTCCACGAGAGGAAGAGATTCCAGCAGGAGCAGAACAGAGAATGGTCCCTGCAACAGCACAGAGAGTGGGAGAGAGCGCGGGCTGACCACAAGCTTGCAGGTAACCAAAGAGAAGAGAGGTTGATCTCAAGAGTCTTTCCAGTGTAGTGTTTGTGGATGCTTTTCAAAGCTCCACCAACATCACTACAAAAGTCAAAACCTCATTAAAAATCAAAAAAAAAAAATGTGAGCTAGTAAATGTGAGTTTAAAAATCCAAAAAAAAAATGTGAGCTAGTAAATGTGAGTTTAAAAATCAAAAAAAAAAAAAAAGTCAAAACCTCGGTCCTCAGAGTCAGCATCTCAAGCCTCTACAGAATAGGAAACGCTTTCTGAGCACTCTTATTGCCCTCCTTTGCTTCCTGTTGCTGTGATGAAACACCATGACCAAAAGCAACGTGGGGAGGAAAGATTTATTTCACTCCCAGGTCACAGTTCATCACTGAGGGAAGCCGAGGTGGGACTCATGTAGGGCAGGATCCTGGACACAGGAGCTGAAGCAGGGCCTGCTTAGAAGATGAATAAACACGTGGAAGGTCTTCCAAGTCTCCTGGGTGTGGAAATGGAGGACCCACGGGTCCTTTGGGAGCCCAGTCACAGGCCCAGGGCTAGCAGGTCCTCATAGGACTCAGTGGACCCAGAGTGTAAGGCTGAAACCATCTCCTGATAGACCAGTTAGCAAGGTCTAGCTAATTTACCCTAGGACTGCTGCAGACATCACCAATTCACAGCAGATATCATCGATCCATAGAGTTTATACTCAGAGTACCACAGTACCCCTTGCTCGTGAAGATCTAGAGCTGCACTTAAATCATCCCAGCTCTCCCAGCACCTGTGAGCGAAGTAACTTCCCCCCTCCACGCACTCTCCCTTTTCTTCCATAGTAGAAATGAGTGTGGACCACCACACTCTGGTGGGCATACTCAGGCTGACGGCATTTTGTCTCCTGGCAGAGGACTTCCACACGCAGACAAGACTAAAGTTCGATGAAACAGCCAGAGACTTGCAGAAGCTAGAAGGCTTGACCAGGAAGGAAGTCTGTGCAGCCACGAAAGAGTTCAACAAGAACCAGGTATCCACACCCTGAGCTCAGGCTGAAGGGAGGGACATGTACATAGCTGCTTCCTCCGGGTCTCCCTACGTTTGGAGGGGTCCCAAGCTCAGACTGCATACACCACCTCTGACAGAGCCCTTGACAGGGCTCACACCATAACGGAGGTCAGTGAGATCTGGTTTGGCCTGACCCTCAATGCAAACTGAAACCGGTAAACTTCACCACCCGCAGGGGTGGGGAAAGCTGTCACTTTTTCAGACCTCCAGAACAGGAGGAGCCTCTGCCCAGGTGAGCTCCACTTGGCTGGGCTGGTCTCAGTTCTTACTGTATCACAAGCTCAGTCATGAGGCCGTCGGAGCAGACAAATGGCACCCTTCTCTTCTCAGCTGCCTGGTTTCCCCTAGGCTTCCCATCCTCCAGTCCCTCTGAAGTTGCTGAGTTCCTTACTCCTTTGGAAACGGCTTTCTCCTCCAGGTTTTGGGGGTTTGTTGCTGTTTCCCCATGCAGTTCAATTCCGAGTGATTTACCATTCTCCCTGTCTCTAGAGATATGGTCTCAGGAAGAAAACGGCTGACTTTATTTCACATTTACTTGCTTTTTTCTTTTTTAATCAAGTCAGGGTCTCTCAGTATAGTTCCTGTCCTGGAACTCACTCTGCAAACCAGGCTGGCTTCAGACTCACTGAGATCCACCTGCCTCTGCCCCTCAAGTGCTGGGATGAAAGGTGTGCACAGTGTCATAGTCAGCAGGAATGGCCGTAGCACCTGCTCTTTATTGAGTATGAGGATGCACACAGTGTTGGGACAGTTTAGCCCATCCTCGGGACTCTGAACAGTAGCCACTACTTATTTTAAGACCTATTATTTTTAATCGTGTGTGTGTGTTCATACATGTGAGCCATGTGAATGTGGGTACCTATAGAGGCCAAAGTCAGATCCTCTGGAGTTGGAGTTACAGGAAGCTGGGAGCTGCCTGATGTAGGTGCTGGGAACAGAACTTAGGTCCTCTGCTCTTAAACACTGAGCTAATCTCTCCAATCCTGGTGGCTGAGATTTTTAACTGTGGCAACAATTCCCTGCTAGCATGTTTGACTATTTGACAGCCCTACCACAGAGGCTGATTAATGCTTTTTCACTGGTAGAGAAAGGCTCAGAAGGATGAGCAAGGCTCTGAGGGATGAGCGATTTTCTAAGGATATCCAAATGCTAAATGGCATGTATTTGAATTTGGTCTTGTCTGCCACGAAATCTGTGCTTGATGACAAGGCATCTGGCCTCTTGCAAGCCCCTGCCTTTCAAGTCCTCTGCTCATTCTTCTCTAAGAAGAGCAGCCAAGGCTGGGAAATGTCTCCCAATCCACCTGTATTAGTCAGGGTTTTCTAGAGAAACAAATCTGATAGACCAAATCTCTCTATATAAATGGGGTTTACTAGAGTGGCTTACAGGTCATGGTCAGGTGATTCCAACAATGGCCGTCTTCTGAAAGAAAGTCCAAGAACCCAGTAGTTGTCCATTTGATCCGTGAGGCTGGATGTCTCAGGTGGTGTTCAGTATACCTCAGAATCCCAAAGAAGTAGGCTATAATGCCAGTGGAGAAATGAGCTTGCCAGTGAGAGTGAGGACAAGCTGGTGAAGGGCAAGGGCTTCTTCCTTCTCCTGCATCCTTTATACAGGCGGCTACCAGGTGTGACCCAGATTTAAGGTGGGTCACTGTCTTAGTCAGTGCTCTATTTCTGTGAAGAGACCCCATGATCAGGGCAGCTCTTAGGAAAGAAAGCATGTAATTGGGGGCTTGCTCACAGTTTCCGAGGGTGAGTCCGTTTATCGTCATGGTGGGAACATGGTGGCATGCGTGGCACAGGGGAAGTGTCGGAGAGCTTTTCATGCTGTTCCTCAGGCAGCAGGAAGAGAGACCCTGGGCCTGGTGTGGACTCTTGAAACCTTAAAGCCCACCCCCAGCAACACACTTCCTCTAACAAGGCCACACCTCCTAATCCACTCCCTTGTGACTAAGTACTCAAATATATGATCCTTTGGGAAACATTTTTATTCAAATCACTACAGTCTTCCTACCTCAAATGATCCAATTCACACACACAAAAAAATCTTTCACACAGGTACCCAGCAGCTTGGGTTTTAGATAAGTCCAGATGTAGATACAGTCAAGTTAACAACCAAGAATAACCATCCCTTGACTGTAAAGAGAAATACCTGCAGTCCAGAGAGGGCAAGCATACTATACAAATCACACAGTCCCTCACATCCAGGCTTTGAGTAGTTAATCAACAGGAGTTGTTCTTCCCCGCCCCCCAAGATAGTGTTTCCCTGTATAGCCCTAGATGTTCTGGAACTCTCTTTGCAGACCAGACTAGTCTCAGACTCACAGAGATCCACCTGCCTCTGCCTCCTGAGTGCTGGGATTAAAAGTGTGCGCCATCACCGCCAGGCAGGAATTCATTTGCGATGGGGGCTATGCTGAAACTGTTAGGACTGCTGAGGCAGCTGTGTGCTACCACCTTTAGAAGTCACCACTGTGGAGGCTTGTGGCGGTGGCCTACAGATGTCCAGGGGTTTTAGGGACCATGGGATGCACACTGCCCTGTACTGGAGACAAGCCAGTGGGGCAGCCCATTGCTCTGACAAATTGGTGCAGAGCCTACAGTCGTACACACACCAGTGGGGAATGAGCCAAAGCCCAGCCACTGCCCAACAGTGCTCTGATAATCTCCAGCCTACAGCCAGGGCCCAGATGTGGTCTTGACCCTGCAGTCACTCTAGAGGTCCTTCTCTACACAGGTTTTGGAGCTGGCAGAACGGAAGAGGCAAGAGAAGCAGAAAGAGCTAGAGGACAATATGACTGAGATCACCAACCTGCTGCACGGGGACCTGCTCTCTGAGAACCCGCAGCAGGCAGCCAGTTCCTTCGGGCCTCACCGTGTAGTCCCTGACCGCTGGAAGGGCATGAGCAAGGAGCAGCTGGAGGAGATTCGCTTCACTCAGAAGCAACAGATCCAGGAGAAGCTGGTGAGCTCCTCCTGGACCACAGAGCCACTTCTGCACCCCCGAGCTGCCCCCACACCCAGCTCCTGTGTCAGTGCTCATTCTGAGAGATACCTCTGCTGTAGGCAGCTTTCATTCCGGTGGGAGGGGAATAAGAGCCAAAAGCTACGGCCACACATGATGTGTGTAGCAGGTGTGAGAGATGAGCAGAGGATGACTGCGGACCTTTTAGAGGGTGGACCTGGTTTCTACAGAGATAGGAAGTTGGTGGGAGGGCCATGCTGGTGGAGAGGAGCTCACTGGTACAACTTTGGATGTGTTAACTGTATAATGTCCATTAGACATCTGTGGGATTAGGTTTGCCTGATGTGGCAAAAGAAAAGGAAACCAAAAGCACTGGCTACAGCGTTTTAAACAAGGTAGAATCTATGTGTATATAATCGGTCCTCAGAATAGTCTCAGGCTTAAGTAGAAGCTCTATGGCCACTGTATTCTGCTATCTTTGGCATCTGGGCCTAACTTTGCGCAAGTGTTTGCTTAAATGCCAGCCATCACATACATGAGCAAATGGTGTAGAAGGAAAAGTAAGGATACCATTTTTTTTAATACTTATTTATTTATTATGTATACAATATTCTGTCTGTGTGTATGCCTGAAGGCCAGAAGAGGGCACCAGACCTCATTAAAGATGGTTGTGAGCCACCATGTGGTTGCTGGGAATTGAACTCAGGACCTTTGGAAGAGCAGGCAATGCTCTTAATCTCTGAGCCATCTCTCCAGCCCCCTAAGGATACCATTTTTATGGAGTTTCACTGGACAACATTTATATTACTCCAACTGGAAAGGACATCGGGACATGCATGCTAGTGGCTCTCTGTTAAGGATGAGAGAATGGTGGCCGCTGGGGACTCTTACCATTCTCTGTCTACAGTTCCAGGTGAAGTGTAGGTGGGGAAAAGCTGAGGAGGAAGCAGGGTGTCTGATCAAGATTCAGAACAAGGTCTAGGCCAGAGCCTTATGTTTGGGAGTTGTCATCTGCAGAAAGTAATACGGTAGCAGTCCTGAGTGTGATCCTGGGTGAGGCAGACAGTGAGGAACACTCAGGTCTGCGGCTCAGGCAGGGCCATCATTTACAAAGAGGGGACCTGCTGAAAGCAGCTGGGGAAGGGGTGGGTAGACGGATGCCAAGAGAGATGTCCTAGAGGTCAGGGGAGGGAACCCCTGCACCACAGTACTCCCAGGATGTGATCTGCCCCCTCAGCAACCCAGCAGGCAGAGGTGCTGGGGTGAGGGCTGGCTGCTCTGGGATAGGGTGCAGGGGAGGCCGGCCTGGTGGAGAGCAAGGAGCAGAGTCTGTCACACATCTGCTCAGCTGGACTGTGGAATGAAGGTTGGCCTAAAACCCAGAATTTTGGTCCAGTTTTTATTCTAGAAAATTCAGAAGGCAGGACCACACAAAGGGAGAAGGAACACATTAAGATTCTCGCTTAGGCCCTTGCTCCATGCTTCTTGGTGCTTTTTCTTCTCCATGCTCTCTGAGCCCCAGGTGATCTGAGAAATAGAGCTCATGCTAAGGCAAGTGCGCGACTGGCCATGGCGTCTTTGAACAGTCCTTTACAGACGTCACTGGCCATGGCGTCTTTGAACAGCCCTTTACAGACGTCACTGGCCATGGCGTCTTTGAATAGCCCTTTACAGAAAGGTCTCTGAGATTCCCAGAAGCAAGGACACCCCTCCCAGGTGGCAGGTGGCTAAGCCAGTGCAGGCTGACTTTGGGTCCTGACATGAGACTGTGCTGGACACCACTCATTCCTCTGGTGTAGATGTTCATCTAGCCTTCAACATGGCCCACCCAGTTGCTTCTCCCAGGAGATCATTTGTGAGAAGTTGAACTGTCTTGGGAGTCAGTTCTCTACACTAATCCACACTAGTCCAGTGCCCCAGAGGGCTCCATGCTTTGCAAGGAAGGATCTGACAGGCAGGACTTTTAGAACGAGGCTGTCACCCACACCTTCATGGTGACACTGTTGTCACAGGGTGAGGCTCAGTGTCAGTGTGCTCAGGGATTCCACAAATGATCCCTACATTAGACAACTTGCTGGGGGCAACATTTGGCTTGCTAAGCCAGCTGGGAACCCTCCTGAGGATCTGATTGAGATCAGTCTGGCTGGGAGCACTATGGGAGCTAAGTTCCCAGGTCCTTCAGGAATAAGAGAACATCAATGCCATTTTTTTTTTTTTTTTTTTTGGTTTTTCGAGACAGAGTTTCTCTGTGGTTTTGGAGCCTGTCCTGGAACTAGCTCTTGTAGACCAGGCTGGTCTCAAACTCACAGAGATCCGCCTGCCTCTGCCTCCAGAGTGCTGGGATTAAAGGCGTGCGCCACCACCGCCCGGCTCATCAATGCCATTTGAGGGCAGAAAGCAGCCAGACCACATAGGACAAGGGTTGGGTGGGTGAGGTCACCTCTCTTCTCCTTCAAGCTTCAGTTTTTCCACCCATAAAAAGAAGCCAGGTTTCTCAGATGAATGCCCTGGGCTCCTGGGCCCTAAGAGAAGGTTGTAAATCCCTTTTCCTGCCTTCAGAGGCTTCAGGAGGAAGAATGTCAGCACAACATGGACTGGGACCGACGCAGGATCCAGAAGGCTCGCGCCAGCCTACTCCATGAGCGTCAGCAGCAGCGCTTGCAGCGGGAACTGCGCAGGGCCCTGGACTGCAGCAACCTCAGCCTGGCCAAGGAGCAGCATTTACGGTGAGTGTCAGGGACCTCACGTAGGTGCAGAGTAGGTGGGCAGAGCCATAAGTCACTCACTGTGTGTACCTTAGGTGCTTGAGGGACACTGAGTCACCTGGGGAATCAGGGAGACTTTCTGGAGGAGGCTTCATAGTTGAGCCTTGGGGTGTAGTGGTCGCCTACTATGTAGCCTTTCCAGGCAGAGGCAAGGAGGACTCTCAGGCTCTTTCACATGCTAGAGTCACCCGAGTATAAACAGAACCCCAAGAGTGGCTCCAGGATACAGCTATGGCAGATAAACTTAACAAGATCACCAGGCAAGTATTCGCTCACTCAGCTATTCTTGTATCCTGAAGCTGAGTCCTGAGGGGAAGCCTGGGGTCTGCTCCAGTCTGACAGTTGTCATGGCGTCCACTGGGGCTTAAAGGAACACTCAGATATGACCTGACAAGACAGTCATACTCTTGGGTGATGTCCCCATGAGTCACTGACACCCAGTCCCTCATCTAACTTTAGTGTCATCGCTGGAGAATAGTGGAAAGGACTCTTACATATATATATGTGTGTATGTGTCCATATATATGTATGTATGTATACATGTATATATACACATATATGTATATGTGTGTTTGTATGTACATACATACACACATTTATAAAATATTGTGCAGGGGTATTTTTGCATAAATCCTGTATGCCACTTGCATGCAGTGCATATAGAGGCCAGAAGAGGGCATCAGATCCCCTAGAACAGGAGTTACAGATAGCTGTGTGCCTCCATGTGGGTGTTGGAAACTGAACCTGGGTTCTCTGCGAGAGCAACAAATGCTCTTAGCCCCCAACTGTCTCTCTAGGCCAGGGAACTCTTGTTTTGAGCTCGTTAGTGTTGGAATGGATTCTGTAGTGTGGGCTTTACCTCACATATTTGCTTATCTCTTTTCTTCTGTTATCAGGAAAAAACAAATGGATGAAGCCTCCACAAGTCAACCCACAGAAGATTATTTCTCACAGTTTAATACAAGAAGCCGCTAATAGGAAAGACTCCCCTTTTCTTGTTTATAGTAGAGTGGTCCCCTCGGAGTTACACTTATTTCAAAGTGAGCCTGCTCCTTGGTCTGAATTTTCTCATCACACTTCATCTCCTGGGGAGTGTGCACTCTGGAAGCTCTGCTCTGTGAAGGCCTCTAGTGCAGCTCTGGGTGCTGTGGCCTTAGGGCTCAGCAGAGAGGACACGAGGGCTGGTGTGCGGCTCCAGCTCCGGGCTAGCTGCTACAGTCACTTGCTAGCTCAGTAAGCATCATAGGTGTTCTGTGTGCTTCATGAGGTACCCTTTGTTCCACTCTCACCCCAGAGGCCGCCGGCATCTCTGCCGTTGTCTAGTGTGCAAATCTGAGTTAAAGGCACACATCTGATTTATTGTGTGATCCTCCCCCCACACACACCAGGAAATGTCAGCACCCAGCAAGTCTGGCTTTCAGCCTCTTCATCTCCTGGCTCCTGTAACAAAGCCCCGGGCAACAGTGGTTTCTGTAAAGCATCATTTTTTATTTCTTGTTGTAATGAAAGCAAGCTGACCTAGAAGCCCTGCTGGCTGGGGAAGGCCCAGTGCCCTCTGCTTCTTGCTCAGCCTCCCTTGCCACTGTGCAGCTCCCATCCTAGGGTCTAGGTCTCTGCTCCAGTTTGCAGTCCTGTCACCAGAACCTAGCGTTCAGGGATATGATCCCAAAAGTATCTGTTTCGTCTCTGCTCACATCCCCACTCTGACAAGCTCTGACTACAAGAGTGCTCCTTTTTGTTGTGGCTGTCCTCAGGTTGGTAAGACTCGAAGAGGATGTCCAGACCAAGGAGACCTCTGCAGTCACCCATCACAAATGCGTTCTCGAGGAAATATGCCCCCACTGACACCGCCAACAGCTGGCTGGGCTTTTAGGAAGGTCAGACCAAGTTGAAGTCACCAGTACAGCAGGGCAGTGTGCTGTCAGTGGCCATCACTGTTGGGCACAGATAAGAACAGGTACCCTTGAAGGCCTGTCCTTTACAAACGCCCATCTGGGCCAAGAGTCCAGTGGTAATGACACAATGGCCCAGGTGTTTGTTTAGGCAATGACAGGATCCACCCATACTTTCCACAGGCTTCACTTTGCCTGGGTCTTTTCACATAGCCAGTGCCTCTGTCATAAAACTGGGACCCGCTGTTCTACCTCATGTTTTCCGCAGGGACTCACACACACCCTGTGAATGCTCCAGCCACAGTGAACTAGGCCTTTCTTCTCTGGAGCAATGTGGAGTCCTATGGTAGTGACCACCATTTTGCCAGAGGCCCATAGAAACCAAAGCACCCATCAGAGAAGTAACTGGGGCCCAGCCCCTTCAGAAGCTCCTCTATGGACTACTCTGTGCCCCTTTGTATGCTTGGATGGCCCCACTACCAAGCCCAGGGAATCTACCTCTGGAACTCAGCCCTCGTTTCCTGAGCAGGAGTGTCTGGCTTCAAGAGTGCATTATGGGACAAGAACATGCCAGGAAGAAAGGGTAGGTGTGGATGCTTTGGGCTGGGAGCCTTAAGAGCACCATGGCAGACTGGACAGCTTAAACAATGGACATTTCTAGTTTCTTACAGTTCTGAGGTTAGAAGCGTGTGGTGGTTAGACCACCGGCGATGCACGCCTTTAACTCCAGCACTCAGGAGGCAGAGGCAGGAGGATCTCCGAGTTTGAGGCCAGCCTGGTCTACAGAGTGAGTTCCAGGACAGCCAGGGCTACACAGAGGAAACCCTGTCTTGAAAGAAAGTTTGTGATGGAGATGCTAGAAAGATAAGGACAACAATCGTAAGGGGTATGATGACTTCATGTTCACAACTGCATTGATTTCCAAGTAAGGTTACAGTCTGAGCTACTAGAGGGTAGGATCACAAGTCATCTCATCACAGAATAAAATGCTGAGTGCCCCTGGGTATATCAATAATTCTATGGGGAACATTGATGAAGGGACCAGGATTTGGCACAAGGCATCGCAAGACCAAATTCTCAGCACAAAGATTGGTTTGTCTCAGAGGGACAAAGGGCAGGGAATAAGAGATGAAGACAGGAGATAGAGGAAGAGGGAGGTGGGGAAAAGAACAATGGAGGAGGGAAGGAATATTTATCCTGGAGGGACAAAGGACTGCATCTGAATAGAGAGGAGACATGTGGCCCATAGGCAAATGGCAGTCTATAAGGGAAAAGGGAAAACCTCAAGTTAGGATGAGGTGTTTAATTTTAACTGGGCATGTTAATTAGGGCAACCAAAAGAGGCTTTTGATTGCTGGAGTTCAATACTTTGATAGCTGGACCTTGGTAGTCAGCCTCAGGAGGAAGAAGTGGCCAAATAAGGGAATAGACCTTGGTGGCTAGCTTTAAGAACATAATATAGTGGTTTTTTAGAAAGGCAAGGGAACTTGGGCCATGTTTGCCATTCTTGGGCCAACTAGAGTTCCTTCATAGGGTACCCAGACTAAACAAGTCAGCTTGTGGCAGCATTCTCTTGGTAGACAATGGACAGTCAACTGAGGTGGTGGATCCTCCTGCTTTTGAGGAGTGTGGTAGTTTGAGTAAAAATGGCCCTCATGGGCCCATAGTGAATGGCACTGTCAGGAGGTTGGCCTTGTTAGAGTAGGTGTGTCCCTGTTGGAGGAAGTGTGTCACTGTGGGTGGGCTTTGGGGTTTCAAAAGCTCAAGCCAGGTCCAGTAGCTCTCTCTCTTCCTGCTGCCTGCCAATCCAGATGTAGAACTCGCAGCTCCTCCAGTACCATCTGTGTCCCCCATCCCCTGCCATGACAATGGACTAACCTCTGAGCCTATAAACCAGCCCCAATTAAATGTTTTCCTTTATAGGAGTTGTCATGGTCATAGTATCTCTTCACAGAAATAGGAACCCTAACCCTAAGACAAGGAGGGAGGCACAGTGGAATGTCCACAGAAGGACTATACGTCCATCAGGCAAATGGATCAATAAACTGTGATGTCTGCACAGTGATTATTCAGCCCTGGAAGGACACGAGACACTGCCGACAGAACACACACAGCATGAATGGCCTTGAAAACATGCCAAGAGAAGAAGCCAGTCATGAAGGGCTACACACAGTAGGACATGTCCAGAATAGACCTTTAAAGACAGAAAGCAGGTTAGACTTTCGCCAGGGACAGGCTTGAGGGGTAGTTAAAGGGTACAGAGTTCCTCTGGGTGCTGAGAATGTGGTAGAATTAGTACCAACAGCTGTAGAACACCGAATATACAAAATCCATAAAAATGGACAAATAGGGTGAGTAATATAGAGAATGAGGAAGATGAGGAAGTCACATCCCACAGCCAAACTGCAAGTTAGAAAAGGACTTTTGCAAAATCAACCATGTGCTTATCCTGGGGGCCAGGAAAGAAGATGTCTGTCCACAAAATACTGTTACAGAAATAGCCATAATGTGTCTATTTGTTCAAGTCCCAAACTGAGTCAACCAAAGTGTTTATCAACAGGTAGCCAAATGCGCATCTGTGTTGTTTTCATAATACCACAGGAATAAGTTGCTGACAACGTCCACCCAAAGGCAGAGACAGAAACTATGAGCAGAAATCCCACACCAGACACGAAAGTGTACAACATAAGATTCTGTGTGTTCAAAGTTCCAGGATCAAGCCGGGCGGTGATGGCGCACGCCTTTAATCCCAGCACTCGGGAGGCAGAGGCAGGCGGATCTCTGTGAGTTCGAGGCCAGCCTGGTCTACAAGAGCTAGTTCCAGGACAGGCTTCAAAGCTACAGAGAAACCCTGTCTCGAAAAACTAAAAAAATAAATTAAAAAAATTAAAAAATTAAAAAAAAAAAAAAACAAAGTTCCAGGATCCGCAAAGCTGTTCTTTCAGGAAGGCAGGAGGATGACCGCAGAGAAACATGAGGTCACTTGCTAGGAGTGGAGGAAGTGTATAGATAAAAACAGCTACTCAGTCCACTGCTACCAGGACTGCAACTGAGGACCCCTAACAAATGCCAGCATATCAGTGTTGATTGAGATTTCTGTCCGCCGTTGCCACATCACCAGCAGGTGGCGCTTCTAGCTCACCGCTCCAGTCTCCACTGAGCCCTGGCCATCTTGTTTCCATAATTGCTGGAGTGTCTGCAAATAAAGAGGGTTTGCGGGGGAAGGTCATTATGACTACTGAGCAACAGCCACTTTGGGTGACCGTGCAATGAGACAGTAGCAGCTGTCCTAATCCTCGTCGCCGCCGACAGAGCGTGGGGAGGAGCTGGGGACTGTTGAAGACAGTGGGAGGTGGGAGCCAAGCAGGAAGCTAAGTGGAACACGCTTTTACAGAACTGGGGCTTCATCTCTGATTGCTCACCCCACCCCAGGTCTCTTACCTAACCATTACCTTCAGGCACGTGCTGCCCATGGTGGAGTCCATGCCCTCTGCCAGACCTGGAACAGTCTTCGCAGTCCGTCTGTAGAGATGCCCCCTTCTTTTTCTTCTATGAACAAGGGCAGTCAACATCTTATCACAACCCTGTAACAGGACATGGCCAACAGAAGGCCCAGGACCACAGGACTCTTTTTTTACAGCTATTCTAGAAAACACTTCAAAATTCCTTCTTTTAATGGCTCTAGAGAAACTTCAACTCTACTAGCCACAATTTGGGGACCAGAACACCCCAGAGTTTATTGAAGAAAGAAAATCCTAGGCCATCTTCTCCACATCAGACTGGCTCCTCAATCTCCCCAAAGGTTCCCTTCTGGAGCTTGGGTTCACAGTAGCTTTGTTGAAATGTTCATGCAGAACCCACTGCAGGTCTTATAAGCATCTGGATCTGCTGGGGACAAGAATAGGAGCCAGAGTCACCACTAAGTCTCTTATCTAAGGTCACTCAGTGTCCTTGCCTTGCCTCTCTGGTCCACCGACTGGCCCAGTGTTCATTCTCAACTCAGGTTCATGAAGATGCACAGTCCATAGGCCCCATCTCCAGCCTCATCCTCTCCGGGGGAGGATTTTGTGAATCAGAGTTTAATCTCACAGGGAAGGAGCAGCGGACTTTTACCTGCAGAGTCCAACACCATGCTGGCCCAGTGTGTGTATATGCATGTATGTGAGCATGTATATATGTATGTATAAGACAAATTTTAGTGTGTCTCACCTCGATGGGTGAGACATCTTGATCCAAAGTGACACCTTGACCTAAACCAGCATCGACTAATCTCTTCACTTGCACGCCTGTTCCTCCCGCCCCCCATCCACCCACATTCTTTCTCAAGGCACCATAACCGCAGAGCCAGGGTTAAAATGGAAGGCAGATCTTTTCAGCTGAGAGAGGAGCTGAGAGTCCATGTGACCATGCCACCTCCTTTTCTGCTTCCCTTCGTTACCCCTCCCCCAACCACCTTCTTTGCTGTGACCCGATCCTGCCCCACATTCCTGCCTTGGGCATCCTCCATACTCACCATTCCCTCTGCGTGCCATGCTCTTTCTTCCAGATGCAAACATGGCTAACTGTTACTGTCTTAGGAACTCGGCTTAGCAGTTACCTTACAGGAGGGAGAACACTTTTCCTGTCTCGTACATTCAAACGTTCTTCCCCCATGGACCCTTCCTATCTCCATGGTCCTTTTGCCTCATTTGTAGAACCATCATTCGTCGTCCTCTTGGCCACTAAGATGCACATTCTGTGAGTGCAAGGACTGCTTCATTTATCGCTATTCCCAGAGTCTTGAACAGAGCAAGACTTGGGTTTATTTATTGCCCGAGTTGTCTGGGGGAGAGTTTCACAGTCTGAACCTAAACAGCCAGGGTTCTGGTATTGTGGCAGTTATCCCTGCTCAGCATCCTGAGAACTGAGAGGAAAACCGACCCACCAGGGACCAAATGATATGATGATGGAGAAGGCACCGGGGAAGAATTCACGCTGGGGGAAACAGGCCAGGCAGAGTGTAGCCCGGTTATCTGACCCAGGTAGCTAATAATGGGGAATGCTGGTCCTGGGCAGGGCAGTGGAAGTCCAGTGGCCAGCACCCCTGTGGAACACAAGGGACAACCAGGCAGGAAAACCCCTGCAGTGGCACCTGAGAGACAGCTTGAGGTATCAAAGAGCATGCTTAGCCAGGCCTGGTGCCATTCAATGTGACAGCCACCTCCTAGGTTGGAAAGGCTGCATCAAGAGGCTGGCAGCGCTCAGTTTAAATCACATTCAACCTGTGCTCCGTCTGCAGCCCTTGTAATTCATATGCGAATGCTGTGCAACTCTTCTCTGTACATTTGAGTTTGCTGATTGATGGTGCTGCTGCTCCAGAGAGATCACAGTCTGGAAGGAGGGACTAGCTTTTCACTCATCTGACAGGTGCCACATGCTGTGGCAAGCACAGTGCTATGCCCCTGGCTATAGTAATTAAGACAGTTAGGGGGAGCTCAGTGGGGTATTAGTTACTTTTCTGCTGCTGTGACAAAAACGCCATAACCACGGCAACTTAGAGAAGGAAAGGTTTATTTGGGCTTATGATTCCAGAGGGGTGAGAGCCCATTATGGCAGGGAAGGATGAAAGCAAGCAGCTGGCTTGAACAGGATGCTGAGGACTCGCATCTTAAATCACAAGCAGGAAGCAGAAACAACAAACTCAAAACTGGTGCAAGGCTTTTGAAACCTCAAAGACCCCACCACCACCCGCGCTCCAGTGGCATACTTTTTCTGGTAAAGTCACACCTCCAATACCTACCCAAACAACTCCACCAACTGGGGACAAAGTATTCAAACATCTGAGTCTAGAGAGGGAACATTCACATCCAAATCACCACAGTGGAAGAACTCTTACTTCGCATATGCAATGCCCTAGGTTCAAGCCCACCATTTAGAGGGAAGATAAGAAATGGCATGTGGTCTGGAGAGCAGAGGAGCAGAAATTAATAAGCAAATGCTCGGATAGCTCGACTCAAATAGCCCCACGAAATGGCTGAGAGTGATTTTGATGTTTTTATTAGTAACTTAGATAAATGTCGGAAGCTGTCTTGGGAAGGAGGAAACTGTGGCTGATCCTTTCAGAACACACTGTAATCATCTCGACTTTGATCAGGACGAGACCTTCCCATTCCCCTGAGCCTGACCCGGGAAGTCATTCCCATGAGTCTGAGACCTTGGTGTCTTTCCCATGGCCACGAGTCTGTTTTCTAGGAGTCCAGCCTCCACTCAGGGGCTACAAGTTGGCCATCCACGTGATAGGTCTGCCTGGATGGTGAGGGGAGCTGGCTGGTCACTGAGGCACCAAGCACGTAGCAAAAAGGAGGCTGTCCCAGACTCAGCTGAAACTTGCCAGGCAAGCAAGCCCCAGGGAAGGTGAAGAGCTGACTGAGTTTCTTGCCAACTGTGTGCGTAAGAGGAACAGAAAGACTTTGGTCTCAGGATTTGGCTTCCTTCCATACGATCCTAGCTACACGTTCAGCCTCTTTTGCCTCTTCTCCAAGATTCCCCGAGCCTTGCCCGATGAAACCATAACTTCACTGAGATCTAGAGTATTCCACGTTCCCAGAACTGAGGACTTGATGGAGCCCAGTTGTCTGAGGCAGGCCGTGTCATCTGCCTGCAGCAACACAAGTTTGGGTCCATGCCAAGTGGAGAACGTCAGGCCTGGGGCCAGGGTCGGCTTTCTCAGCTTCCTGTGATTATGGCCAAGTTTCTGATCCCAGTCACTCACCTAAGATACAGACCATTGATGAGTAAGTGGGTGGGACATGCGAAAAGGTGTATACTGCCCATCCCAGGTCACTGTGGCCTCTGGGACTCAGCCCC